CTAAAATTTTCCTGTTTTACAGCTTTTTTTTTTTTTTTTTAAGATTCATTTATTTATTTGAGAGGCAGAGTTAGAGAGAGAAATGGAGAGAGAGAGAGAGATCTTCCATCTTCTGGATCACTCCCCAATACTTACCTGGCAGGGGAGACATCATGATCACGCACCTGGATCACTTCCCAAAAGGCCGTGACAGCTGGAGCTGGGCCAGACCAAAGCCAGAGCCAGGAGCTTCACTGCGGTCTCCCATGTGGGTGCAGGGGCCCAAGAAGTGTAGCAGCTGGGTGCTCATATGGTATGCTTAACCTACTATACCACAGTGTCGGCCATACAGCTCACTTCTTTGTTACACTTTTGAGAATACTCCACACATATCAGTGTTTATAGAGCTGCCTCATTTTTTTGCAGTTTGTGGTAATGATATGGGCTATACAGGGTATTAATGAGGGACAAAGGACCTAAGAGGTTTCTAGCAGTTTCTGTGTCTTAGCCCTTCAATATAAAAAACCTCCAAATCTTTCAAGCCAGTTCACCACACCCACTTTCCCGTGATGCAGCTGAGCCTCCTCCATCGTGAAGACGCCATGATGAACATGTGTACGCCAAGCTCCATATGGAGATGCAATAAAACTTTCCCAGAGGTCATCACATGCTCTGAATGCTGCCCAAACTCTATCCTATTTGTATAATCAATTAAGCCACCACTTTCTACTCTATAAAGTGGGCATTATAAAGTTATAAGATGACATCACGGGTTCTAGGGATTAAAACATGGGCACAGCTAACATTCAGTTTACTATAATTGTTTTTGCACTGCTCTAACAGTACAATTATTAGAAATCAGGAGAAACAATCAATATGGTAGATCCAGTTCCAATTCTTCATAGATAATTATGCACTGGTAGTTTTTCCTAATTGGCCTCTTACAAAAAGATTTTTAGGTAGTGTCTCTGTCTTGCTATCGATTGTCCCATGGTTTGATGTAGCAAGAATGTCCTCACAGTCCTCACAGGCTATAGGCACCATATTCTTACCCATTCTGTAGAACTCTGAGCTAAATAAATCTATGTGTCTTACAATTAAAAAAAAAATCTTTATTTGGTTTGACCCTTACTATCAATTAGTATTCTTAGAATCATTTTAACTACAGCACTAGTTTGCATATAAAAATAGTATTTATGTTACTGACATTTTGTGGGCCATGAACTATTGATATCTTTCTTGTTTAGATGTCGGAGTAAATAAGTCAATAGGATTAAAAGATGGCTCGCTTTGAAGAATAAAATAGCCTCCCAGGATTAGATTCCAATATTAATTCAGTTACATGTTGTAAAAGATAAGATTTGGTTCAATTGAATTCCTATTATAATTTTGGATGAGTTGTCACCTAAACTTAAACATTGTGCATTAATTTGATTTGGATATATCCTTTTGTGTAAGAAATAGGAAATATCAAAAAGATCAGTTGATCATTCTTTAAGGAGCATGTTAATTTGTACAGGTGAAAACAGCCATTTTATTGGAAGGATGTAAAGAAAAACTCATGTTTTAACTGCAGGATATCTAGAGGAATGTATGGTATAATTGATAATCCCCTAACACCCATTGATTTTATTTGGGACTGAGTGCATTATTTCTGGACTGTGTTTTGAAACATAAACTTCTAGACGGCATAGACTGTTGATAGAGTTTCATAGTATTGAAACTGGTTTAGGTGTGGAAAGTTGAAGAAAGGATTATTCAAAAGTTTAGGAAAGAACATTTGATAGCCAGTACAACTGCATGAGAAAGAGCCTTGAATATAATAGTGGAGTGTAACCACTGTCACCAATAATTTCATTATCTGTGTCTGATATCTTCTTCTGCATAGATTAATCAACTTACATTGATTCTAGAAGAAAAGGCAAAGTTCTTGGGCTTCAATACACAGCCTACCACATAAATGTTGAAAAAGACTTCAAATAGCTGAATGTTTCCTGTAGCCATCAAATTGTTCTCTAGTAACAGTAATAATATATTGTAGCCTATGCACTCAAAAGCATTATAAAAAATAAGGGTGAATAACTTGGGTTAGTGGTAAATTTCAAAAGATTTTGAAGAACAGTTGTTGTTTTTGAATTCCAAAGAACAACTTACAAATTTTGATTGACAAGACAGATTAAAAACAGAAGACAACGAGAACATGTATAAAAATTGAAGTTTGGCATTTCTCCCTAGGGGGGGAAAAAAAACTTGAAGGGGTATGATTGCATGCAGAATGAACAGCCTATAAGTTGATGTGTAAAACAAAATCAGTAACAGTGGCCCTAATAAAAAGTCTTTGCAGCAATTTGATTACCTGTTAGACATTCCACTTTGAAAAAAATCACTTGGCATCTCTGGTCCTTTATGCTCTCACCTATTAAATATGATTCAAAACACCAGATTCTCTGAGTTCATGGGGTTATGAAAATCAATTCCTTGAAAGCCCTAAAGCACTGTTTATTTTTTCAATACAGCTAAATGAAAACTACCATAAAATATATAGTGTACTGCTAAGAAACTAAATTGGCAGATGCCACAGCAAGACTTCTAACTATAATATCAATATATGAATTATATTTATGTATCTGCATTAAGGTGTACTTAATGGAACTCTAATATTCAAAGAGAAAGGGGTGTAAGATAGATTAATATAGGTATAATTACCAAGCAAAACTTCCATAATCACTACCCAATGGTGGACAATATCCATACATGTTGGTCAGTCACTCTGGAAGAAAATGAGCCACTCAGGCAGGCGCCGCGGCTCACTAGGCTAATCCTCCGCCTTGCGGCGCCGGCACACCGGGTTCTAGTCCCAGTCGGGGTGCCGGAATCTGTCCGGGTTGCCCCTCTTCTAGGCCAGCTTTCTGCTGTGGCCCGGGAGTGCAGTGGAGGATGGCCCAAGTCCTTGGGCCCTGCACCCAATGGGAGACCAGGAGAAGTACCTGGCTCCTGCCATCAGATCAGCGCGGTGCGCCAGCCTTAGCACACCGGCCGCGGCGGCCATTGGAGGGTGAACCAATGGCAAAGGAAGAACTTTCTCTCTCTCTCTCTGTCTCTCTGTCTCTCTCTCTCACTGTCCACTCTGCCTGTCAAAAAAAAAAAAAAAAAAAAAGGAAAGAAAAAAAATGAGCCACTCAAATTAAGGCACTGTGACATTTCCTAGAAATGTTCTCTGTAGTGTGCACAGAGGAATTGGGCTTCTCAAGCTCTCTTATACTGACCTGGGTAAACCATGAGTGAACATAATCATTCACTGGAGAGTTGGGTCCACTCGTCAGAAATGCCTCAGACTTTGCTCAAAACTTTGCCCTGAACTCAGGGAAGTTCTCTCTGCCAGAGGAAATGAACACAAAATACATTTCCTTGAAATAGAAAGGTTTCCTGTTTTTGGATTGGGAATGTTGTAGCCATTGTTGAATTCCTTACCTTGAGAAAAAACTAGGAAGGCTGCTGAGACTCCTGGTAGGACCAGGACTGTTAGCCTCTTCTCACTGCTATTGTTCCAGACCCGTGAGGCACATTTAGTGGGAACTCTTCTTCATTCCATTCCTCTCAATGTCTCAGATTTTATCCCTGATTTTCAGACTCCTTTAATCGTCTTCATTTCCATCCTCACTCAGTTTCTCACTTTAGGAGTTTAGGTCACAGCTTCTCCGTCCTCTCAATACAAATCTCTTTGACCTGGTGGCTGTATTGTCTGTGTTCAGCACTTGGTCTCGAATGCATCTTAGGCGACTGTTTTTTTTTAATTGAAATAATTGACTTTAATCTAGGCAAAGGAAGGCTTGGCCAAAGCAAAATAAACTCTTACATACTAGATTCTACATATTCGTATTCCAGTGGAAATAATGATATTTGATATATTAGAGTTTTAGCGTCTTCATCTGCCATCCAAACTCTGAATTTGAATTCTAAATTGGAAGTTCTCTGTCGCTCCCCCTCTTCGTGGAGGAACGACACAGGACTCTGCGCTGTCCTTTTGTCTGCTTGGCCCTTCCCGGGTTTGCTGCTGGTTCTTCCCGGGTTGGCTGCCGACCCTTCCACCTCCGTGGAAGGGCGGTTCCCCCTGACACATTCCCCACTTGCGCGGGGGAGCGGCACACCGCCGGCTGGCTCTCTCGGGGGCTGCACAGGTGTTCCTCCAGATAGATGTTCCCCTTAGATGTTCCTGGTGCATGTTGTCTCTCTCCTCCTTTATAGTCCTCCTCCGCCAATCCCAACTCGGCTGCCCACACGCCGAGTACGCTGCTCTCCTGCAATCAGGAGCAGGATCAGCTCCTGGAGGTCATCACTCAAGTTGGCAAGAGGCAGCTGCGTAGAAGCTGTTTTCTCCTCTCCCAGCGCCATATTGTGGGAGAGCAGATGCATAGAATAAGTCTTAATTCCAGTAACTTAGTCTAGTCCGGTTGCTCCCCACATTCTCTAAGTCATTGTTTCTTTTTTACACCCAGTCTGACTCATTGTAAGACTCTATTATGACTTATATGTATTTCTGATAATTCTCTTTTAAACTTTCTCTTGATTTACATTGTTAATGATGATGTAACTTATTTAATAGAATTTTAGAAAAATATTTAAATGGGCATAGGAAATTATTTGAGTGGCAGCTAAAGAATGTCAGTAGATTTTCTTTCTCATGTAATCTACATTATTTATTTATTAAATCCAAAATTTCTTTATCTTACACTTTTCATTCTTTTTTCCATATAAACATTTGATCATTTTGATCATACCTTAGTTGTTCTGTCAGTGGATTGAGAAAAATAAATGAATAAATAAATACTTGCACATGTTGTAAATACACATGCACACACATGTATGTATATATGTGTACACATATGTATGTATACATAGATAATTTTGTTCAATATAAAAATTTATCACAATTTTTAGGATGAGTTAAAGCTAGAGCCTCTAATGAGATTTTTGAAATTTAATTATAAATGTTAGTAACACTTGCTTTTTTATTTTTTTAGGTAATCTGAAGTGTGCTCTACCTCTTTTCCTTTGTATTGCCTTCACGTATCACTCACAAGCTATAGTGATTAAGATAAAGTTTCCACCTTTAATCCAAAGAAATCTGTTCAAGGGGGCATCTGTCAACAGGTAAAAATATACCATATGCTCTATTTTTCTTGGCTAGGCTTCCTAAAAAAGGATCAAGGCACAATAGTTATAAATTGCATAAAAGATCGCAGATTTGTGCACATGAAAAAAAAAATCATGAAGCCAATCAGTGTGTTTGAATTGAATCTTGGATATTGGTGAATTCAAGAATTGCTAATACAGAAGAGGCAGCAATTTTGGAAGTAGAGTTTTCCAAAGTCCAGTTTGTTCCTGATCCATTTTTTACTGAGCTAGTTAGGAGAAAGGAAGATGTCACTTTATGTGATAGAAACAAAATAGATAGTGTAAAAGACAAGTAAGTGGCTTGACTTCCGTGACAAAACAGACAATTCAAAGAGCAAAGATGATGCTTTGGACAATATACATTAAAATGAAATGAGTTTAGAAGATAGTGGAAATCAATTTCTAGATGATCTTCCCAAAAGCCATCATCCAGAGAAATAAATAGGTGATTATCTATAGAAGGCTGATGTACATATCATGAGTTGTCATTCAAAATTCTTAACAAAAAAATTCTTAATAGCAAAAAGATGTCTGTAGATAGGCATAAAACCTAAAAGAGATAAATATGTTCTTATGTGTATGTGTACTTAAGTATGTGTGTGTGCACATGTATGTTTGTATATGTGTCTGTAGAAAGGAGAGTTAGCATATACCATTGCTGTACATTTTACTTCTTTTAGATTTTTGGGTGCTTCTGGCTTTTGTTTTTTTAGATTTCATTTATTTATTTATTTGAAAGGCAGAATGACACACACACACACACACACACACACACACCCTTACACACTCAGAGACATCTTCCATCTGCTGATTCACTCCCCATATGCACATAACAGCAAAACTGGGAAAGGCTGAAGCCAGGAGGCCAGAATCTCTAGGTTTCCTATGTGGTGGTTTCTGATAATAACTGGGCAGTTGCAAGCCCTTGATGTTTCTGACAACAAACCAATCGTACACCTTTAGAGGAAGAAATATAAATCTTGTTGTTTGCTGATTATCTGTGGGGAGCAACTCAGACTAGACTGTTACTCGAATTAAGACTTATTCTATGCATCTGCTCTCCCACAATATGGCCTGGGAGAGGAGGAAACAGCTTCTACACAGCTGCCTCCAGTTCAACCAATAAACAGCAGGACCTGCTCCTGATTGGAGGAGAGCAGCGTACTTAGCGTGTGGGTAGCAGAGTTGGGATTGGTGGAAGAGGACTATAAAGGAGGAGAGAGACAACATGCACCAGAAACATCTGAGGGAACACCTGTGCAGCCCCCGAGAGAGCCGGCCGGCGGTGTGCCGCTCCCCCGCGGAAGTGGGGAAAGTGGCCGGGGGAACTGCCCTTCCACAGAGGTGGAAGGGACGGTAGCCAACCCGGGAAGAACCAGCAGCAAACCCGGGAAGGGCCGAGCAGACGAAAGAACAGCGCAGGGTCCTGTGTCGTTCCTCCACGAAGAGGGGGAGCGACATTATCTTCTGTTGGTATGGTCTTGTTAGTTCAAGAAGGCATCAGTGTCAAACTTAGAGTAACATAAGCAGCATGGAAGAAATTCCTAGAGACAGTAATAGAACACTGTAGAAATGTTGGCTCATCAGTGCTCTTGGAAGCCTGGAATACAATGTAGTGTAGGAAAACACACACATTGCAAATTGTGTGTCAGAAAGGGATTCATTAGAGTTGTAATCTGAACGTGTATACCTTTAGAAATACTTAATCCAGTTGGAAGTTTTTTCCTTTGGTACATATTTGTATCAATTTGTCATGACTTAAAATTGTCATTTCCATTTGAATGAATTGTGTTATATATAGACACATGTATGTAATTGAAACTAACACAATATAATGTTAGGAATGCATGTTATTTATATGTTTTTCTTTGTTATTTATATTTTCATGTTTTTATATTTGAAATTTTTAGTAAATACTTGTATAACAGGGAATAACAAATAGTTATTTTAAAATTTTTAAATTCATTTTAAATTTCTAAATTCATAACTGATGTAGAATGCATAACCTCCCAGCTTTTAGAAGAGCATTTTTAATCTTTTTTTCTCTTTAGTACAAGCACAACTAGCAAAATACAAAAAATACTGAATTCACAGAGTGCTCAAAATTATTAATTATTAAAGAATATAAAGTAAAAGTACAATGATGTACTTCACATCTACAAAATTAAGAAATAAATAATTTAAAATTATATATTGGCCAAGACGTGTGGCAAGGAGAATGCTTGTGCACTGCCGATATCAGTGTAACTTTGTCCAGTGAATCTTCGGTGGTTCCTCACCAACATCTCTGGAGAACAGTCTGCTTTTGTACTGTGTGAGAGATTGACAACCAACTAGAAACAATTCAAAGCTCCACATATATGGATGTGAGTTTGCATTTGTGTATGTGGCGAGCTTATTTACACACACATGAAACATATATTCAGAAATGAAATGTAGCCGATCTTTATGATTTGTGAATATGCTTACTCACAAAAATGTATTTGTGACTCACAGCACTTCCGAATTATTTGCAGACATGCACAAAGGAGCGAAGCATCTGAGTCAGCCAACGTTCTGTCATCTTGTTTCAGTTCCCATTTAGATGTTTCTGTTGGTGACTTTGCTGTCTGAAATGACCCCCACGAGTAGTGCTGTGTGGTGTTCCTGAGAACAAGGCTGTGGGGTACCTCACTGAGAAAACCTTTGTTGTGGACATGCCTCACTGAAGCTGGAGTTCGGGTGCTGTTGGCCTTGAATTCAACGTTAACGGATAAACTAAACCTATTTGATAAAGTAACATTAAACAGGAACACACACAAAGCAATGTTATGTATTGATTGGGCGGTGAAAATCTTGAGATCAGGGTCTCACACAGAATCATAAGCGTGGAGTTCTCCTATGAGCATCAATCAGTATTTTCTAATTTGGTTTTGATGGTGACTTTTAGATCACGACTCCTATGAATAATGAGAAATGAACTGCATTTTATAACATCGGATAAATAAGTCTATATGTACCATGTGTACATCTGTAATTATAATACAAGGATATAAACAATCAGTTTAGAGAATGGAATGATTTTGGAGGAAAGCATTTTTGTCTGAAAATTTATATATGCCTATATAATATATATATAATATATAATAATAAGTTTATATATAAACTTCCTTTTCCCATTTTTTGTAATGGGAGCAGTGTTTTAAGGAATCTAGTACTTTATTTTGATGTGAGAATGTGATGCATCTTTATAGAAGGTGGAGCCTACCTAATATGGAGTTCAAACTCAGAACTGATAAGAGTACACCTATTCGCTGTGTGATTCCACAGGACCCCCTTTCTTCTCTATGTGTACAGTTTCCTATCTGTAATCTAGACATTCCAGTGTCAACCCAGATCATTAACACAGTTCAAAGTTCCTATTTGTAACATGACTTACATATTAATAAATTACAATATTTTACAATGTGGATTTCAGATAAAAATGTTATTTAACCTTTGAAATGACTTGGAAAATGAATCTTGTATTTATATTCCTAAGGTTTTATTATATTACTTAAACAATAGTTTAAACTCATGAATTAGCAAAGACAGACAAATTAGTTTCATTTATGCAAGCAAGAAAACTGCGACGAAGATTTTAAGCCTCATAGCTTTTTACAGTTGACTATACAGCAAAACTTAGCTTACCACATAAATGCTTTTTGGTATTCAGTATTCTGTGTGCTTCAGAATACAGAAGCTGTAAGAAAGTTGGATGCCTTAAAGTAAAATAACAAAATTTAGGAATATAGAGATTCAGATTCTTTAAAAAATTTTTAAAAACTGATTGCTGGGGGATGGCGCTATGGCTCACTTGGTTAATCCTCCATCTGCGGCGCCGGCATCCCATATGGGTGCCAGTTCTAGTCCCGGTTGCTCCTCTTCCAGTCCAGCTCTCTGCTGTGGTCCGGGAGGGCATTGGAGGAAGGCCCAAGTCCCTGCACCTGCATGGGAAACCAGGAAGAAGCACCTGACTCCTGGCTTCGGATCGGCGCAGCGCCAGCTGCAGCGGCCGTTTGAGGAGTGAACCAACGGAAGGAAGACCTTTCTCTCTGTCTCTCTCTCAGTGTCTAACTCTGTCAAATAAATTTTAAAAAATTAACAAAAATTGCTGTTTTTAGCTTGTTTAATACTTATAGTCTGTCTCTGTTTTTCCTTTCTTAACTAGTGTGAATTTTAAAAGATATTTCCAGTGTTTTTGTATTGTAAACTCACCATGTTGGATTAGCGGAAAGCCAAGGAGAAACCAGCCTTTCTTCAAATTGGATAGATGAACAGATAAATGGGTATTTTTGTTGTTTCCATTAAATTAAGGATAATTACAAAAGGAGACTGTAAACAAGCCAAAATGATTCTTCACATGGTTCATTCTTAACATTTTGGGTTCATTTTAGCAATTTTAGTCTCTGCCAAGAACTGACTGGTAAAGCATCCTGTCCTGACGGCCATGATGGGCCAACGTCTACCTTGTGCACATGATCTATCTTTACTTAAAGCTCTCATTTAGCATTGTTGCTGCAGTGCCCTTGACGTTTTGGTAGGCTTCTAACACATAAATGTACCTCTATAAAGAATTTTCAAATTATTTTCCTAGTGTTTCAGAAAATCATATGTATGTCTGATTATGATTCATAAGCACAGGGAATATAATAAAAGTGCCAAGGTGTCATTTTGGGGTTTTGTTTTTGTTTTTGCTATCTTATTTCTGACTGTGTTTCTGTTATTTTCAGAATCAGCAGTGATTAGTGAAATCCAGTTACTGATACTCTTATTTTACTTGGGTCAGATTTCTTTTTTTTTAATTAATTAATTTATTTATTTGAAAGTCGGAATTACACAGAGAGAGGAGAGGCAGAGAGAGATCTTCCATCCAATGGTTCACTCCCCAGTGGGCCGCAATGGCCAGAGCTGCGCATATCTGAAGCCAAGAGCCAGGAGCTTCTTCCGGGTCTCTC